TTTTTTTTTTTTTCTGAGACAATCTCAAGTTGTCACCCTGGGTAGAGTGTCATGATATCATAGCTCACAGCAGCCTCCAACTTGGGCTCAAGTGATCCTCTTGCCTCAGTTTTTCTACTTTAAGTCGAGACAGGGTCTCACTTTTCTCAGGCTGGTCTTGAACTTGGGAGCTCAAGCAGTCCACCCATCTTGGTCTCCCAGAGTACTAGGATTATAGTCATGAGCTAGAGAGCAACCCAGGGAGGGAGCTGGGTGGGGAGGTGCACCAGAGTTTTCTCTTTGTCCTCTGGTGGGTCTAGGGCATTGAGCCTCCTCGAAGCTATGACCCCTCAAGGAGACCACCTGGTCACAGCACCCTAAGTCCCTCCTTGGGCCAGCAGACCCCCACAGCAGCCAGAGTGCCAGCTCCAGTGGTCCTAGCAAGGTCTCAGACTACCCAGCCTTGCCCACCTGTGGTCTCTGTCTCCTTTTTCCACCCTAGCTCCTGCCTAGGGCAAGAGCTGAACCCTAGGGGGCTGGGCAGGGTCATTGGGGATGGGGAGTTGTCCTCAGCCCCAGCTCTGGGACCTGCAGACCTTCTAAGGTCCCTCTCCAACATTGCCTGCAGAGTGCAGACTTGACATCCACACCAGCCACATCCCTCCCTGGGCTCCCAGCCCACTCTGTACTTAGGACTAGGTGGGAAGGGCCCTGGTCTCTGAGTGGGCTCCCTGGGCCCCCACCTCACCTTGACCCCACGCCCTTGCAGGAAGCTGTGCACACTGAGTCCCTAAAGGGGCACAGTGATGGCCTTAGGGACAGCATCTTGGTCTCTGGAGAACCTGAGAAGACCCCGGTGAGGCAAGTGTCCCTGGGGGACTCCCCAGAGCCCACCAGCATCCACACCCGAAAGCACACTTTCGGGCAGCACTGCATCTCCAGCCAGCCCCCGGCACCAGGCAGAGATGAGGCAGAGGCCGCAGACCCAGCAGATGAGGAGGTCAGCCACATAACCAGCACAGCTCACACCTGGCAGCCCCCAGCTGAGCCTCATGGTCTGGCCAAAGCGGGCGATGAGCAGGCTTTGTGCAGCCTCTACAGCGTCAACACCCAGGGTTTCCTGGATGAGCCAGGCCGAGCAGATGAGCAGAGGTGGCCCTTGGCAGAGCTGGGCAGTGGGAATCACAGCCCGGAGCCAGGGGAGGTGAAGGCCCAGGTCCTTGAGGCTGAGCTGACCCTGGGTGCGCGCAGAAAGAAGAAGATGAGCCCCCCTTGCATCTCTGTGGATCCCCCTGCAGAGGACGAGAGCTCTACCCGGCCCCCCACTGTACCCGGTAGCACCACCCTGCGGCGACGAACCCCCTCTTGTGAAGCTACCCCCCACAGGGAGTCCCTGGAGCCTGCAGAAGTCCTGGGTGCAGGAGGGGACCCTGCAGCCAGGGGTGAGCGATGGGGCCAGGTCCCTTGCCGGGCAGAGCATCTAACTGTCCCCAGCTTTGCCTTCAGGCCTCTGGACCTGGGAGGCTCTGAGGAAGACCCTTTCTTGGACAGTGGCCACACCATGGCCTCAGAACCCAGAGCTTCTGCCTCGGGGACCACAGCACCTCTGGAACCCCAAGAAACAGAGCCTCCTATACCCTCTGGTGACCCCCCAGAGAAGAGGCGAGGACTGTATCTCACCATCCCCCAGGCCTCCCTGAAGAAGCCAGGGTCCCCCCCAGCTGCGCCTGCCCCTGGGAATGGTACAGATGAGCCAGTGTAGGTCAGGACTTCATTACCACATGGGGTTTTGTCACAGGGGTTTGGGGTGCCCAGTGGGGTGATGGGCCTGGACTGGGCTGTGTGTGGACCCTAGCTCAGGTCCTGACATGGGCAGAGGCACACAGGGAAGGTAACAGTCTAGGGAGAGACCAGGAGTTGCTCTGGGCTCTGCAAGCCTCCATCTGATCGATTCAGGTTTGGGTTTTTCGAGTTTTGCTCCAAGTCTATGCCAGCAGCTGGATCCACAGTCCTTCAGTGAGAGGCTGCAGTGGTGAACGAGAGCCAGAAACCCACCACAAGGAGGAAGGCTTCGGCTACTGCCCTCACAGTCCACATATTTTTATAGGGAACACATACCAGGCGTCCCTGGCACCATCACTGGCAGAGGGCGTGGTCGCTGAGGCCACCACAGCCAGTATCACCTTCGCTCACAGTCTAAGTTCCCATCTGTCCCTCACACCCTCCACCCTCCTCACTCTGCCCTTCCATGCTGCTCCCCCCCATTCTGTTCCTCTTGGATATTCCCGGAAACATGCTCATGATTCTGGGCAGCAGCCACATCACTAGGAAGCTGTCACCTGTGCAATAAGACACCCTGGCTTCCATGTTAGTGGGGCCCCCTTCTGTCCGTCCATCCATCGTCCATTTGTCTGTGGGCTTGGGCCACAGAATTTCAGTTGGCACCCTTTGTTCTGTTTGTTTGATAAATTCAGGTTGAACGTTGCAATAATCTGATGCAGAAAACTCAGCTTCTCAAGTCAAGGGGAGGGAGGGAGTAAAGCAGAATAAACAGTAACTTATTTAAGAAATGTGCTTGGCTTACTGTTAGGGTCAAGGGTCAGGGGTCACAGGGAGGGTTGGCCCAGGCTGGGCGCATTGAGCACTTGGCTGCCAGGGTACAAGAGAGAAGCAGGAGGAAGAGTCCAGGGAGGAAGAAGCTAACCAGGAGGAGGAGCTCAGAGCTGCTGGGGTATGCAGACCCAGAGTCCTCTGAGGCCAGGATGTGGTGGTGGATCCAGTTCACATAGGCAGAGACACGAGTATAGACCCCTGGACGCTCAGGGCGGCCACAGCCCTCACCCCAGCTCACGACACCAGCCTGCAGCCAGGACCCGTCCACCTGACAGACCAGGGGCCCCCCTGAGTCATCCTGAGAGACAAAGAGAAGGCCAAGATGCTAGGGGTTGGTGGGGCCCCTCCCTAGGCCCTGAGGTTCCCCTCTGGCACCTGGGCCTGGCCTGGATCACCTGGCAGGCATCCCCAGGGCCTTGAGCACACAGCATGTCAGACTGGATGGCGCTGCCCTCCGGGCTGGAGTAGTCCTGGCTGCAGGTGTCTGTGTCCACCACCAAGACTGCTACCTCCTGCAGGCTGTATGGGGGCGGCAGGGGCTCTGGGGGGTGGGGACACTCTTCAGGGACATAGCCAGCACTGACAGAGTGGAGAACCTGTGGGCTCTGCCCAGGTGAAACCTCACACCATGGTGGTTCTTGGTGGTGCACTGGTGTGGGTCTGCGTGGATGGACTTTGGAATGGGACAGCTGATAAGGACATCCCTGGCCAGCTGTCAAGGCTTCCAGGAGAAACTGGCATGAGCAGGTCCCTCAATCCCAGCTCTTCATCCCCATAGCCCCATAGGCCAGAGTGGTAGGAGGGGCATCTCACCTCCCTCCCTTATGTAGCCCCAGCCGGTCACCCAACACTGCATCCCAGGGTAGAAGTTAGCTGAGGCCTCTGGCAGGCACACGGGCAGCACCTGGCTGGAGAAGGCCACGGGAGTGCTCAGCTTAACCAGGGCAATGTCCCCACTGGTCCCTGGTGGCCCTGGGGGACTGGAGTACAGTATGATCCGCTGCACGGTGGAGAAATTTGAGGACAGAGTGACATCAAGTTCTCCCAAGTGCACCTGGTAGTCAGATGAGTTCAGGGACCTGGCAGGGAAGAGTGGGAGGGTGTAGTGTGTAACTACCATTAGAGTGGCCGGCTACAGAGGTGAGAGGCCAGTGTGGAGCCCCCCCGACCCCACCCCAGCCAGGACCTGAGGCCAACCCTTTCCTACTTGGCTAAAGGTTCAGAAGTAGCTGCTCTGGGCAGTGGGGCCAAAGCCTGGGCACGGCCCCACCCTCTAGAGCAGGCGTCCTCAAACTATGGCCCATGGGCCACATGCAGCCTGCCTAGGACATTTATCTGGCCCGCCGGGTGTTTTTGCCGCCACTGCCTGTCCTGCTTAGCAGCTGACTCATCCGGGGCCCTCAGTCCGGCCCGCCAACGATCTGACAGACGGTGAACTGGCCCCCTGTTTAAAAAGTTTGAGGACCCCTGCTCGAAAGCCAAGGACTAAGGGCCTGGCCAGCAGGAAGATTTCAGGCTTTAGCTCCCTGTAAAGAAGTAACAGGCAACAGGTGAGGAGGGAGGCATTTGCTCACCCGCAGAGGTGTGCAGACAGCAGCCACCTCAGTGGGTGGCTCCAGAAACTCCCAAGACCAGCACCAGCCACTTTGGTGCAGCCAGGGATGCCTTCTGAACCCTGTGGCTGCACACTGCTGCCTCAGGTCGCAGGGAGGATGTCCATGACTACTACACTAGTAGTCCTCCCTTTCTACTGAAGGGAAAACTGAGAACCAGAGAGTTACATCTTGAGAGTGAGCTAAAGGCTAAACAGAAGTCTCCACATTGCCACCTGCCCCTACACAGCCTGGACACTCACCCGGAGAAGCAGTGGGCAGCTGTGAGCACCCACTGAGAGCTGAGCAGGGACCCTCCGCACACGTGCACCCTCTGCAGACGGAGGCTGGCCTGCCATGGCCATGCTCCAGCTGGGGCAGGATGGCCTCCCACGATTCGGCCCCCTGTATCTGAAACCTGGGGCTGGCCACACCCTAAGCCAAAGGAGGAGGTGTCATTGGTGGGTGATCCAGAGAGGCCAGCTCCCCAGCCCTCTGACTTTTCTGAAGCCCTTCCTGATCTCCTTCACAACTTCTTGAATATTTTCTTCTTACATCTTTAGCTCCCCCCGTCTGCTGGATGACCCCCCTCAAGAGAAACAAGACCCAGCAGCCATGAGTGCAACCTGCACTCAGGGCTTGGTCTCCAAGCACCATGCTCCATAAAGTCACAAGCAGGGCTCCTCCAAGAGACGCCTAACAGGTCCCCAAACAGGTGCCAGGGTGCTGGAGGGAGCCGCTGCTTAGCAGGCATGGGGTCTCCTCCCAGGGTGATGGGCATGTTTGAACTAGAGCTAGTAGTCCCATACCACCACAGCTGCTAGACACTGCTCCACCTGAATGCCTTGCAAAGGATAATTTTATGTGAATTTCACTTTAATAAATTAAAAATCAAGACACAGAAGCCAGCTTGAAGAGCTCCTATCTGCTCAATCTGGGGCAACTTGAGCCTCAAAATAATGAAGGCGATAAGAGTATAACCCTACAACTAAGTAAAATGGGAAATGGTGAGCCTGTGTTACCAACAGACACAACTAGAACTGGATAATTTGGGGAGAGGGGTTCTCTACCACAGGAGAGCAGAACTGATACCAGTGCAGGGGAATGTGGACCCAGAGGCCATAACAGAGACCAATTGAGGTAACTGTCCTCAGCAGGGGGTAAGCCCACAGGGGAGTTTGAGGGCAGTGGGTGTTTGCACAGTTGTGGATCTTCTCTCACAAGACACAAATTAACTGCACAGAGAGGGCAGCAGCCCTGGCCACACCCCTCCACCACAGGGTCTGAGTGGGAACCACCACAATAACATATGTGGCCTCCCTGGGCTTCCAAATGTGACCCCTTGGAAGGACACGGCATCACCTCTGGGGGCCTCCCCACACACCTGTTGGAGACGTACCGTACCTGGCTGCAGAACTGCGCCAGAAACACCTGCAGGATGGAGAAGAGGCAGGACCAGGATTGGGAGGGAGCAATGTGGGGGAGGCGTCCCCAGGCCTCAGGATGACCTTGCATGGGTCCCTGCTCTAAGCAGGTGGAGCCCAGACTAGAGGCAGGGTGGGACCTGCCACCAGCCATAAACAGCAGCTGCGAGGCGCTGAGCCTCCTCCACCCTCTACTTAGGGTCCAGGAGCTGCTGGCACCTGTACCTCCACCCAAGCTTCTGTTCCCAGGCACTTATGGGGGCCACTGGCACCCTTGTGCAGGCTGTGCAGAGAGAGCTCAGGGCCCTACTGTGTGAAACTTTAGCACATTTCCCTCTATCATCCTCCCAGCTTCACCCCAGCTCTTGCCAGTGCCCCTGGGCCCAAGGCCCAGGCCCTCCCACTACAGGGCTGATGGAACACACCAGAAATGCCTGAATCCTAGCTCCAGGAGGAAGCCCAGCTCCCCAGAGCAACCCCCAGCAGTACTCCCCTCCAACCCCGGCAGCACCCCCAGCTGGTCACCTACCAAGCACAGCCAGGAGCAGCAGGAGGCCACAGGGCTCCAGGGCCATGGTTTCTGCACAGACAGGGAGGAAGGGGAGGGTCCACACTGAACCTTAGACCACTGGGCGTGGGGAGGGGTGGGAATGGCTACACACCTGCTGTCAGGGCCAAGGAGGCAGGGCCAAGGCACCATGGCAGGCCCCGCCTGTTCACCCAGAGAAAGATTGTCACCTCTGTTTGTCCTCATATTGGCACTGCAGCCCAGGCATTCATGGGGCTCCCATTCAGATCACAGCAGGAATAGGAGAGAATGCCAGTGTCCTCACTGCAAACCCAGCATTTTCTCCACCCAAGAGGCAGCCATGATCTCCTTCTTCCTCAAGGAAGCCCTCACTGGCTCCCATGGGGCACACTGGCCCATCTCCTCCAACCTCTCAGAGTCCAGTCTTCAGGATCCCAGCCCAATGCCCAGATAACCCTGTGGAAAAATGCTTAGACCTCCGTGACAACCTGCACTCTATGATGGCCTTGTCCCCACATCCATCAGCAGGTCCCAAGGTCTCCACCATAGATCATATGGGCACTATCACCCAGCCACCCTGCATAGCCAGCCCTTCCTAACCATCCTCTGTCTGTCCAGGACCTGATGACTGAGCTGATCAGAAACCCTAGGCAGCACTGGGACTCTCCTGCCCTCTCCCCAGCTACAAGTCACAGGTCAGTGTTAGAGGGTCCCACTGAGACTCTCTAGGTCAGGGATATCCTCTGAGATGTGGTGGGGGGACCCAGGGAGCCCTGCATAGGGGGAGCAGGAGTCCCCAGCCCAGGTCATCCCACTGAGGGCCCAGGAGCCTGATGTCACTCCCTCCTGACGGGGGGCCCTCAGCACACACAGGTGCTCAGCCTCTGCCATGGTCAAAACCTTCATGGAAACCACTGCCCACAGGAGATGGAGAAAGCAAAGGGTCTGACAGTATCAACACTGCCAAGGATGAGGAGTGGGGGTCACTCTCCCCACTGCTGGGACACAGCCCCTGGAGAGGAAAGTCTGGCTTTGTCCAGAAAATGCAGGATGTGCAGACCCTGGCCCCAACTTCCCCCCTGAGGGCACTGTCTGCAGCCCACAGGTAGCTGGTGGGCACATGGGAATGGCCACGGGTATCCTAGCTATAAGAGCCCTGACTGGGGATAGCCCAGAGTCCAAGAGCAGCAGCCTTGATGTGGCCACCACCAGGCACTGTGCGGGCAGTGGGATGTGCTGCCCTTGGCCTATGCAGCAGCGAGAAGAGTATCACGGGCACATGTGGAATAAAAACAGCCTGACTTGGGGGTGACAATCAGTGCACAGGTATCCAGAAGACAAACCCAGGCCAGACAATGCTGTGGTATGGCCAGGTGTGCTAGTGAAGCCCCCAGCCTGTGGTGGGGTCCCCAAGGAGTGGAGGACCCAGCCCTCAGGGCAGGTGGCCAAGCTGTCTGGGGGCTGCTTGTGGGTGCCTGGTGTCCTCTAGAATCAACTTTGTAATCATCACCCATGTTGCTCTACCTGACCGAGTGCACAATGCCTTGTGAGGGAGGAGTTGGCCCTGAGTTCAAGGAGGCCAACCCCACAGTGACACGCTGCACCACGGGGACGGGGACCCCCAACTCTGGCAGCTGCACCCTGTTATGCCGTGGAGCCCCTTTCCCTCACCCATGACCAGGAACACAGCACAGCCCAGCCTGCTCTTCACACACTTTAATGAGACACAAAGGACAGGCAAGGGAGGGTGGTAGGGATCAGAGGGGAAGGGGCTAAGGGGACAGAGCGGGGGCTGGGAACTGGGACTGGGATCAGGACAGAAGGACAGGGAAGGTGTGTGGGGCTGGAGCCCAGCTGGGTAGGAAGCAGCGGTGTTGGGACAGGAAGGTGCTGGGTCCTCTAGTGACCTGGGTGGCAGCCCTCTGGACCTGGCTCAGGGCTCCTTGGGGACATAGTGGTGGATCCAGTCCAAGTAGTGGGTGACGCGGGTGTAAATGCCCGGCCGGTTGGGCTGAGCACAGCCATCGCCCCAGCCCACCACGCCGGCCTGCAGCCACGTTCCATTCACCTTGCAGACCAGGGGCCCTCCAGAGTCGCCCTGGGGAAGGTGGGGGTCAGTGCTTGCTGGCAAGGCCCAGGAGGGTGGGCTGTGCAGGGACATATGGGACCCACCTGGCAGGAGTCATGCTTTTCATTCCCAGCACACAACATGTCATCATGAACAATGGGAACATTGTCACCTGTGTAGAGCCCCATGTAGTATTTTGCATCACAAATGTGGTTTTCCGCTATGGGGACTTCCACCTCCTCCAGGGGGAATGGTGGGGGGAGCCCCACTTGCAGGTGGGAGGAGAAGAGGCACAGGCTGGACCTGGGCCATGCCCCCAGTAGACTCAGTTTACCCTATCACCGGACAGGTCATGTATGACAGCAGCGTTCCTAAACTCCTCCTGGACCTCCTCTTCCCTGTAGGGCCTACCAGGCCCTGGGACAGTGGGAAGCGAGCACGTGCTAAGTGCCCGACCCTGTCCCTCCAGGCTGGTCCTGGATCTCCTGGCTCCTTTAAGTCCCATTTGGGGAGGGAGGGTGGGTCCTCCAGGCTATGGGTGCCTACTGAGGCACAGGCCCCACACTCAGCTGACTTTGGGCCAGTGTCCAGGGCCCAAAGTCAGTTGCAGCCTGCTGCCTGGCCCAGCCCCGGCCCCATGACTCAGTCTCCCCTCTGTGGATAGGGCAAGTGGACAGAACGCTTTGCCTGTGTTTGCTGAGTATCCCCAAAGCTGTGCTCTGAGTTGTTGATGAAATGATGATGAAACCTTTTAGAACTGAAAATGTGCCCCCCTCAGAGGTCAGCCTGAGCCTTGTTCAACCCCCATAAGCCCTCCTGTGAGACCCAATCCTGGTGTGCACTGCTCTGCCCTGCCCTGGCGGTTCTCTTTCCCTACAGTCAAGAGACACTTTACAGGCAATTTTTCACCTTGCTCTTGTCAAATTCATCAAACACAAACTTTTGACACATCCTTCAGGAGGGGGAACCAGGCACGGGCGTCAGTGACTTGTTCAAGGCACCCAGGGGTAAGCTAGTCCCTGCTCTTACACAGGCTGCCTCCCACATCTTGCTCCCTTCCCAGGGTCTCCAAATTCCCACCCCTGGGCCTGCTGGCTGGGTTCTGGCCCCAAAAGAAGGTCCTTACAGCTAGGGCCATAGGTGTGATCCCCGCCCCACCTGGCCCAGCATCCAGCCTTCCCTGACACGCACCATCATTGTCCACATCACCCCAGCCTGTCACCCAGCACGGCGTCCCCGGGGGGAACGTCTCTGAGGCCGGGGGCAGGGTGATGGAGTGGACACTGTGAGAGATGTTCACGGGCTCCTCGAGCTCCAGCAGGGCAATGTCTGCCCCGGTGGTGGCCATGTAGAAGCCGGGGTGGGGGATTATCCTGCTCACAGGCAGCAGCTTGTCGTGGTAATAGAGATGCTGCTCCCGCAGCCGCACCCTAAAGTCAGCCAAGTCCTGGACTTCCCTGGGGAGGAGACTCCTCCTCAGGGGACCTGAGCAACCTCAGGGAGAGCACAGGAATGGGGTGGGCCCAGGCCCTCACCCACCCACAAGGCCCCGAGGACTCACGGTCCCACGCAGTGTGCCGCCGTCAGCACCCACTGGGGGTGGATGAGGGAGCCCCCACAGACGTGCATCCAGAAGTGAGTGTGCTGCCGCAGGCTCACCTGCCAGGGCCACTTGCTCTCAGGGGCCTCCTGGCCCCCTACGATCCCTGCTCACTCTGAGGCCTGGCCTGGGGCTGGGGAGGGGTTAAGATCAGCCTGTGCTGGGCAACCCTGCCCCCTCCTGACTCACCTGTGCCCCTGCCTGTGGAGTGTGCAGTGAGGGACAGGGGCAGGGCTGGGCATGGTCAGGACTCACCAGGGGCCGCATGGACCCAGCTCCCCAGGATGGGCAGGGCCAGCACCAGTAGGTTCAGCATCTGGAAGGGGCAGGAGGGATGGTGTGAGTGGGGTTGGGCCCGGGGTGTACAGGCTTTGGGTACAGGAGGGAGCCGGGGCCTATGGAGACTAGGGGCTGGGTCCTGGCCCAGGGGTCTCTGTGACCTGGGTCTGGGGCTTAGCCTCTCTGCTCCAGGGCAACACACAGCCACCAGGGGCTCAGAGGGTGGGATCCTACCCTGGCCTGTCCCTGATCCTCTGTAGCCAGTGGGCCTTCCCTTTTATCCCTCCAGCCCCAGCAGGGTTTATGGCCCCACCCTCCAAGGCAGATGTGGAGGAAGTGGATGATTCAGACTCAGGGCTCAAGTGTACTTGGCCAGTAAGAGCCCCCACTGTCCCTTTGTCACAGAGCAGATGCAACTGCTCAGAGGACTAGGGATGTCCCCCTCTGCTACCATCTGTGAAGCTCCACTGCTCTGCAGCGTCCTTGTTATCGTGGGAATCTGAGCTTCATCAGCAGAGGGGCCACAGCAGAGAGGCCAGCACCTGCCTCCTGTTGGACATCCTAGCCCCCCTACCCTGGGTCCCAGCCCCCCCCCCCCACCCGGGCAGACTGTATTCCTGCCTGTCCTCCACCTGCCTCCAGACTCTCACTGGTCCTGCCCATCTCTGGGCACCCCAGCCATCTCCTTGAACTCTGACCTCTGGGGCTCCTGCATAGCCCCCATACAATGTCCAAGGGAGGCCTCAGCCCACCCTACCCTGCCAAGGACAGCCAGGGGCTATTCATCTGGACTCCTTTCAGGCAGCATCTCCTGGGGGCCAGACAGAGGATATCCAGGCACCCTCTTGCACAGTAACCGTAGTCCTCATTCAATCTCCCAACAAGCTCCTGAGAGGCCTCTGAGTTCCCTGTCCTGGTTCTGGGAACCAGGCCTACAATGGGACTCTCGAGAGCCCAGATGATGAGGGGTCGGGACCGAAACAAACAGACGGATGTCAGGGCCAGGGAAGCCCAAAGACACACAGGGTACTGGGAGCAGGCAGAGTGCAGAGGCCCACCCTCCACCCTCCTGCAGGCCCCACTCAGTCAGTGGGACTACAGGCACCCACCACAACACCCAGCTATTTTTTCTATTTTCAGTAGAGACAGGGTCTCACTATTGCTCAGACTGGTCTCAAACTCCTGACCTTAAGCATCCTCCCACCTCAGCCTCCCAGAGCACTGGAATTATAAGTGTAAGTCATCACAGCTGGCATGGATTTGCTAATATTTTGTGAAGACTCTTACATCTATTTTGGTGAAGAATATTGGCCTGTAGTTTTCTTTATCTTATGTCTTTTTTAAATTTTAATATCAGCATAATCCTAACCTCATAAAATGAATTGTTTCTTCTTCCACTCTCTGGAATAGGTTATGTATATTTGGTATTATTTCTTCTTCAAGTGTTAGGTGAATTCACGAGTGAAATTCTCTGTGTCTGAAATGTCCTTTGTTTAGAAGGATTTTTACTAAAAATTCAACTTTTAAATAAACATGGGTGAAAGATGGCCTTACTAATAACCTAGCTAAAAGAGAAAAATAAACTATCTAACAGAAAGTAAGAGAATTGCCCTTTGCTTAACTGGGTACTTACGGCCTAACCTGTTGTCTCTAAGAGTTTGTTTCTCTGCCTTAATGAGCCCTAAGCAGGCAGTCGGGGTGTGAGCTCCCTGCTCCAGCTTTCTGCCACAGTTCCCACTGAAATTCAGATTCCAAGGACTCTATAAGCCAGCCTCACACAGAAAAGATTTTAAAAAATAAATAAAGAGTACCTGCAGCAGCTTTGCAGTCACTTCTATTACCAAACTGAAGTAGGAGAAAACAAGCCATTTTTACCTTTGAAAACTCCAAGCAGCTTCTCCTCAGGGTCACCCCCTCTCCCATTCCCTCCCTTTTCACTCTCCTCCTTTTTCTTGGTCTAAATAAACAAACAAACATTTTACTACTTACTTAGTGTTGTACTCCCCATGTGAGAATTCTTTCTCTAGCCCAGGGGCCCTCAAACTTTTTAAACAGGGGGCCAGTTCACTGTCCCTTAGCACGTTGGAGGGCCGGACTGCGGCCGGGGACCAGTCGGCTGCTAAGCAGGACAGGCAGCAGCAGCAAAAACACCCAGTGGGCTGGATAAATGCCCTAGGCAGGCCACATGTGGCTCGCGGGCCATAGTTTGAGGATGCCTGCTAGCCCTTCCTCCACACTCAGGACCAGTCCCCCTGTGTCTCTCAGGCCTGCTTCCATTGTCATAGCACCTCTGGCCACAGCTGGGAAAGATTCTCTGATTTTAAGACCTCCTGATTACACTGGGCTCACCTGGAAAATTCAGACTCCTCTCCCCCACCTTGGGTTCTGTCACCTAACTCACATCTGCAAAGGCCCTTTACCCTGTAAGCCTACATAGTCACAGGCTCTGGTGATCAAGATGCTGACCTCAGGCTCAGCACCTGTGGCTCAAGCGGCTAAGGCGCCAGCCACATACACCTGAGCCAGCGGGTTCAAATCCAGCCGGGGCCCGCCAAACAATGACAGCTACAACCAAAAAATAGCCAGGATTGTGGCAGGTGCCTGTAGTCCCAGCTATTTGGGTGGCAGAGGCAGGAGAATCACTTGAGCCCAGGAGTTGGAGGTTGCTATGAGCTGGGATGCCACGGCATTCTACCCAGGGTGACAGCTTGAGGCTTTGTCTCAAAAAAAAAGAAGAAAAAAGATGCTGACCTCTTTTAGGGGTCATACTTCTGCCTCTCTTGTGCATGGTGGGGTGCAGGTTGGGGCATCCCCAGTTCTGAAGGTGAACTGAGTTGGGACAGGTGAGGGCCCTGAAGGACTGGGGATGGCCCTGGAGGTTCAGAACTCAGAGGACCTTTTTCCATGAAGACCTTGCCCTGTGCCCCCTATACTGGGTGACATCAGGCTCTCGGGCCTGCATAGGGGTGACCTGGGCTGAGGACTCCTGGCTCAGACCCTTCTCCCTCTGTGCAGGACTGATGGGACAAGTCTCACCTCCCCCAGCTGCACCTGCCCAAGTATGTGGCCATCACGAGGAAGGGGCCCTGCCCCTTGCCTGCACAGAGCATCCCCAGTGCACAGAGGATGAGCTGATGTCATCCTTACTGTCACCAGGTCAAACATTTAACTCTATTGTGTACCCGGGCTACTGACCAGCTAGGAGCAGGTGCAGGAGACCAAGTGTGGGCCCCATGAGGCCACATCCCGGTGGGTGATCAGGCGACTCCCCCTCATGCCTCAATTTCCCCACATCTCAGAAGGGATCCCTTACCTAAAGGGTCTCAATGGGACCTTCTAACCCTAGCCTATAACTTGGAGCTGGAGAAGGGGCAGGAAAGTCACAGGGCTGCCCAAGGTCCCTAATCAGCTCAGTCATCAGGCTCTGGCCAGACAGAGGACGGTTAGGAAAGGCCTGCCTGGCAGGGCGGCTGGGTGACAGTGCCCATCTGATCTGTGGTGGAGCCCTGCCAGTGGCTGTATGGACAGGAACATCTTAGAGGGTGAGTTGTCATGGGGGCCTTAACTATCTGAGCCTAGGACTGTACTTCTGTACTCCTTTCTTTCTTTTTTTTAAAATATGCTTTTTATTTTAGAACAGGTTGATTTATAGAAAAATTGCAAATGTAGTATTGAGATACTCATGTGCCCTATACCCAATTTCCCCTTATTATTAACATCTTCCATTAGAAGCTTTTGTTTATTGTAATTAATGAGCCAGGATGATGCATTATGTTAACTAAAGTCCATAGTTCATTTGGATTTCCTCACTTTTCCACATTGCCCATCTCTGTCCCTGGATCCCACGTGACATTCGGTTGTCACATTCCTTAGGCTCCTCTTGGCTGTGATGGTCTCAGATTCTCCTTGTCTTTCGTGGCCTGGGCAGTTTTGAGAAGTTCTGGGCAGGGGTTGGTGGAACCCTCCTCTGTGGGGATTTGCCTGTTTTCCTCATGGTTAGCCCGAGCTTACAGGCTTAGGGAGAAAGGGCATACAGTTTGCTGTACCTCCTATTTCCAGGGACTTGGGAGTATAAACTACTCTCTTCATGACAACAATTTCTATTTCTTCTGTCTTACCACTCCTAATTTCAAACAAATCCCAGACACACATTGTAGAACAACACTGAAAAGTAGTAAACATCTCTGTAACATGCTGAAATGCAAGAAGACTTAAATAAATGGAAAGACTCCTTATATTCGTGGATTGAAAGACAGCGTTGCTAAGAAAGCAGTACGAGCCAAACAACCGTCAGATTCAATGAGTTCTGCGCCAAAGTTCCAATGGGATTTTTTTTTATTTTTATTTGCAGAAATGGAAAAGCTAACCCTCAAATTCATACAGAATTGCAAGCAGCCTGGATGATTAAAACAATATTGAAAATGAAGAACAACATTGAAGGACTCGTATTTTCTGACTTTGAAAGTTTCTACAAAGCTACAGTCATCAAAACACAGTGGTATTGGCAACAAGACAGATATAAAGACCCATTAAATAAAATTGAGAATCTAGAAATAAACCCATACGTTAATGTCACGTGATTTTTGACAAGGGCATCAATACCATTCAATGGGGAAATATGTTCTCTTCAACAGATGGTCCAGGAGCAGCTGGACATCCCCATGCAAATGAATGAAGTTGGATCCTACCTCACACCATACCCAAAAGTTAACCCCAAATTGATCAACAACCTAAATATGAGAGCTAAAATCACAAAACTTTTGAAAGAAAACATAGAGTAAATCTTCTTGACCTTCTATCTCACAAAAGAGTCTTTAGATAGGACATCAAAACCATGAGAAAAAAATGGAAAAAAGATAAATTTTACTTCAAAATTTTGTACCTCAAAGAATATTTTTTAAAATATGAGAAGGCATCCTACAAAATGGGAGAAAATACTTGCAAATTATATATCTGATAAGGTTTAGGATACAGAAAACATAAAGATCTCTACAACTCAAAAACAAAAAGACTGAGGCTGAGTTCATGCTCATGGTGGCTCACGCCTCTGTAATCCTAGCACTCTGGGAGCCTGAGGTGGGTGGATTGCTTGAGCTCAGGAGTTCTGAGACTGGCCTGAGCAAGAGCAAGACCCTCAACTCTATTA